GTTCTCCTGCAGGGATTTTAGTCATGTCAAATCCCACGTATAATCAGTCACATGCAGGCTACCTCTTTCCGCTTTTCAATGAATTGTTTCATTTCCTCCCTGAGGCACGTCTGCCCTGTTGGCACTTTCCAGTGAATATGAGTTGCTTGTTGACAAGTTTGTTTTTTTAAAGGCCAGGGTATTCCGAACAACCACAACATCCTGCTCAGGTGGATTGTGTTACGGTTGAATCTGAATTAATGAAAAAAACAGGAAGATTGACGCAATTATAATTAAAAACAAATCAGTAGACTCTCACCTTGGTTATCTGTAAAACACCATGCCAAAGCATGACCTTTAAGGTTAAAGTTTATAAATTGCCTATAAAAAATTGGATTGGTGGGTTTTAACTCAGGTGTCAGAATGTAATTAACTCTCCCACAAACTAGTGTTATTTTAACTTTTGTCTCTTGACAGAAGTGCAAATAGATTCCATTTTATTTGCAGTGCTGTCTGAATTGCCACAATACATTCAACTTAAAAATGCTTTTTAACTTATTATTATTTTATTTTTATCATCATTATATGCACGACTCTTGATATCCATAACTCATTGTCTTTATTTATAAAGGAGTTTTCATGGGTGACATAAAACACTTTACATAAGATTAAAGAAATAAACAGCAATGACCAATAAAACAAACATAAAATGTGGGGCTAAACAAATCTGGGTTGGTTATAAAGAGCTACAATGGACACAGGTGACATTTGAAGGTCTGAGGAAATAGGCTTGTTCAATAGAGATGACATATATGCCTGGAGGGGATTTTACTTGTGTGTGTGAGTAAAATCACACGTGTGAGTAAACAAGCACACTAAATACACTAGAAGCCTTTAGACCTGCTCAGTATCAGGGTTAATTAGTTCCAGCAAATTGCGTTGGTGATGATGAGGAGGAGGCACTGAAGACAGACATTATTATAAACTGCTTTCAACTTCTTGAAAAGAATCTTATGATTAATATAAAAACCAATAAAAAGAGAACTCATATATAATAATTTGCTTACTCAGTGTAATAGCGTAGAAAAAAAGGGAGGGGGGTATAGCTAAAAGGACAACCTTAATAACGATGAGCCAAAAAGACACAACATCCAGGGTCTTTAATGCCTGCAGGTCTGCTTGGAGGTTGTTCAGCAGGTGCGAGCCATAAGAACAACATAAAGACTTCAGTGTGGTTTTTTGAAAAATATTTTTGAAAAATGTTTTTCAGAAGGCTTGTGGGGTGTGTATGGCTTAAACAGTAAATATGCTGAATTCATATAAAAAATGTCAAATCAATAGAGCTAATGCAGACGCTTCAAAGTTAGAGTAATGCCAGCTGTTTTTCATCAAAATGTGGTTAAGCCTCTGACAGCTCTTGGAAAGCCTGACTACATAATACAATTATCAGAAATGATTGATTTTATGGATGACAAATAATACATTTCAAAATATGTGCCTAATTATTCATGTCACATAAAAGGAATACATAAATACTTGGTGTGGAGAGCACAGATTTATTACCCAAAGTTGAATAATTGCATACAGAATACAATGGGCTGTTCTGATGGAGCTCTGTGGTTAAGTTTGCGGTTTATATTAACGTCTGTCTTTGGTTGGTGTCTTCACTTGACCCCTTGTGACCTGATCTCACTTCCTCACTTGACTTGCAATTTAAGTCGGAGCCTGCGTCATAAAGCCAGCTTACTGGTGTAGGAGGTCCAGTGAAGACTTTTTAGCTGTAAGTAAAAATGGCAGAGTGGATTTGCTCACTGAAATGAAACATCTAAAAGGAATGATCACAGCCTGAAACAGAAAATAACAGACTACTATGAAATATGCAGCATTACTCTCACCGGCAGACAGTCGAGCAGTATTAGGAGTGTGAAGCTGTGGGTGATTTTTATACTTTGAAATAGGATTAATTGTAATGGCTTTATTGGTCTAAAAAAGATGGAAAACTGTGAATACATCTTCAGCACAGCCTGTAAAACACTTAGAAATTGTTAGGTTCTGTGTTTTCTGTGTAGTTATTTTTGAGGTTCTCTGTGTTTAGTCCTGTTCCTATCCCGTCTTCCCTGTTGATTGCTTCCCATTCCCAGGTCTGTCTAGTTACCTGATTACCCTCCCTGTGTATTTAAGCTGTTGTCTTTGTCTCTTGTCGGGTCCTCGTCGAATGTCATTCATCGTATGTCAGTTGTTGTCTCACGTGTCTGCTCGGCAGTAGAACTGTAAAGTCCTGGTTAGCTTCAGCTCTCGTTTTAGGTCCTCTGCCAATCAGTAGCTACCGGTAATTAGCTGTGTGCTAAACTCTCTGCCGTGCCGCCTGTGTTGGACTGTTTTGAGCTTTCACCATTAAATTCATCATTTCTTCTACAACCTGGGTCCCTGTGTTCAATCTCACCACCTCCAAACCACCACATCATGACAGAAATGTCAGGAGAGATTAAATAAACTAATGTCAAACTTATTCATAAAGCACATAAGTGACAGAACTGCTTTATAATAACCTCCCAAAATATTTCTTTAAAATAAAAATTATTTTTTTTAAAAAAAGCATACAAAAAAATAAAATAATATGATCAAAATAAATTATTTGGAGTGAAAAAATCAAAAGCAGTCACCACTTTTTACTAAACAGATCCATGATGAATCCGCAAAACATCTGAAAAACTTAATCACACTATTCCTATAATCTTTGTTAAAATCTACAGCATTTAATTCATGTTAAATAAACCAGAGATTAGCAACAGATGTGTATCTGTTAGTCATCTCTAAGGCAGGATTGTAAAACTGCTTCTCATTTCTGGCAACATCAAGATCTTGAATGTCCTAAAAAGAGCCAGTTGTGGAAGAATCTAGTGATAAAATTACCCTTTAACACGCGGTTAAAATATAAATTAATAACAGTCTGTATTTAATAATAGGGCCTTGAGTTGCTTTTAAAAGAAAAAAAAAGAAAGACTTCAACACAATGTTTTAAATAATGTCATTTCATGTAATGATTTTATGAATGGGTCTTCTGTGGTGAATGACGCTGAGGATTGGCACACATTTGGTCAGATTGTTGGGTAGCATCAATTTAAGATAATTTCATGATAATTTATGTTGCTAATGTTTGTCCTACTATAAATCAGCAGTGTATAAACTGCTTCAGGCTAAAACATCACTGACCTGAGCAATAAAATCTGTTTCAAAGCTTCACTTTAAAATAAACATGACACTCGGCAGCTGCCTGAGGCTGACATGCAAGTAGTAACATAATAGATTCTGCAGCTTAGTGACAAGTTAGATATTGCAAGTTAAGAAATTATTGTCATTTCATGTGTTTTCACTGAAAAATAAGCTGAATCAGACATTAAAGAACAGCTTCAAGAATTGCTAATAACGTTCAGGGTCTTTTTCTATCACTGTATACCTGGAAACAGAAGTGCGCCGGTTTTTTAGAGTCAGAATGAATTTATATCCCTTTTTTTTCAAATGCTAATCAGCGGGATATTATTATATGAACAAATAAATTGTGGCCTTTTGCAGGTCTTTCTGTTTGTTGAACACATAAATAACTATTTGCAAACATTGTAGTTTACGATTAATTGGACTCCTATAAAACTAGGCTGGTTCCTATAGATGGTGACTTAACCTTCTCAGTTTATATTGACACTTTGTTTACTGATTAACTTGATACGCCATTTGTGGCCTTTATTCAACACTAGCTTGACAGGAAGAAGGGCAGAGCGAAAAGAGGAAGACGCCCAGCAAATGGCCCAGGGCCAGGAATCAAACCGGGGACAACAGCATTGAGATATGTAGCTTCTGTGCATGGTGCACCTGCGCTACCACTGAGCCATCTGGTGCCTCACTTGACTCTTTTTATGTGGACATGCATTTATGTAACCTGAGTGAGAAATCTGCAGGATGGTGTTAATGCATCCTTTACATCATGTACAAAAGATATTAAGAGTACAGTAAAGCCCTTTTTGTTTGATTTCAGTGAATTCACGGCATTAGTCAGTCACGGATGTTTAGAATCTAGAGTGTAAAACAAGTTAAAGGTCACATCAACAGATCGGGTACAGATGAGGGAAAAACCCACTATAGTATTTTGTCATTTTTACTTTCTCATTTGTAAAACGCATAATATTGCTGGGAATCAAAATATTAATCCATGTTTGGATGGCAGCATATTACCAACTATGATTATTAATTTACTATTAAAGTTAGTTTCTTTGAATTGGGGCACTATTCTAGTTTGCTTGAATCATTAGCCAAACTTTTCAGCCTCTTACAAAGGAATAAATTCAAAGTTACAAAGAACACATACTCTTCAGGGAAAGTAAGTTGTGAAGAAATTTAAAGTATGACAAGCAAAATAAATAAATGAATAAATAAATAAATAAATAATAATAATAATAATAATAATAATAATAATAATAATAATAATAATAATAATAATAATAATAATAAAACATTTCTTAAACTTTGTCCATCTCAGAGAGCACTGCTTAATTTATTTTCCAAACATAATCTGCCAAGGCATTATTGTCCACTAAAACTGATTGGACTGAACTAGAAGAGCATTAATAAAGAGTCCCATAGTAACTCTTGAGGAGTTGCAAATATTCAGAGTTTAGAAGGGAGAATATTTTCATATGATACCTGTAAATTGTGTACTTCCTAAATCTGACCTTCACAGAGGAAGAAATAACCTATTATTGAAGGAAAGACATGTTCAAAGTTACTAAAAAACAACAGCATTAAAAGGAAGTGTAGAACAGATATTTTCAATGCTATTAAAATAAACTGCTAGGACTACACTCGCAGACCACGACCAGTAAATAAAAAAAGAAAAAAAAACAAACAAACCGAAACCCAGCAAGCAGAAACAGCACTTCTCCTCAGCTGCGCACCCGCCCTACGTAAAGGATGTTAGTAAATTTGCGTAGTGTCACGTGGTACAACGTGTCGTAGTTGCTACCTAGTAACCACGCTGGCATTGAGAAAAGCTCTGTTGGTAACATTGTAGCGCATAGCGTCAAACCAAGAACTGAATTCTCAAAAGCTGCGACAGCACAACGGTTACAGGTAAAAGGTAAATAAAAGTAAAACTTTCTCGTGTTGCCAACAAGTTGCAGTTATCCTTGCTTATCCCTACGATGAATGTTTATTTCCAACAGAACAGCTAACGTTAGCTAGTACGTTGGCGTTAGCTGTCCATGCAGAGCTATTGCTTTGCTGTGGTAATAGCATAGTGACTCAGTTTCCGTTTAAACCTACGGGTGAAAACAGAAAAAAATCACAGCTTTGTAGTACATATTAGTAGTGGAAATTACTTTTGAAGTTGTTAAACAATAATATTTTTGTGCTTCTAATGTTTTCTCTCTCGATGTGAAATTAATCATGGTTACTGATTTAACATATAAACCGCCAGTGCAGTTTGTTTATTTCGAACTGTGTTTAACCTCGAAAAAGTGAAGGGTATTACGATGCTTGGGCATCTGATGCAAGATCCATTTTATTAGTCAGTAATGTACATATTTTTAAAATACCTCAAAGAAACCCTTGCCCTACATGTCTGGATCCAGGATTGAGAGTGTAAAAAAAAGAAAAGCAGCAACATCTTTGGCTCTTTTAAACTGTGGTGCCTTTGATGACACCTGGACCATTATACCATAAGCATACTCACATTGAGAAAACCATCAGAATGAAAGTGCTCTCTCTTGTTTTTGCTTTTGGTAGGATATAAGTATACGTGGAAATGTGTCTGTTGAGAGAGTGGAATGTATTCAAGAATGTATTTTTGTTTGTTTGTAAATTAACACTGACGTTACAGTCATTTGTACTATTGCTTTGAAATGACTATTGCTTTGATCTTGTAAAAAGTTTGAGCATCACAGTTGTAAACAATATTAGGTTGAACTGCACAATATATTTAGTCTCAGAATCATCATAGCAATATCAATCAGTGCAATATTGCCATTGCAAATTACTGCTAGGATGCAATAGGTCATTGCATATTAAGTTTCAGATGACATGGATAAAAAAAAAAACTGCCTGTAATATTCTATGCATACTGGGAAATGCTTTTACAGCCCTCAGTTCTCAAACCTGATCTAAGTTTAATGTCTGACAAGGGAAAGCTCAAAAAAGTATTAGGGGCATTTTGATAAAACAAAAGAAAAATTCAGGAATAATGAGGGTGAATTAATGTCGCCATCAACATATTCAGCGATAATATTGGAGTTTCATGTTTTACTTATATTCTATTTCCCCGATATAATGTATTAATGCCTATCTTCCACATGTGGCAGGGGATTTCCTATCTAATCCCAACCCTGTCTTTCAGATAGTGTGACTGTGTTATGTTTTTGCTTTGTCATTATTAGTTCGCAACACTGAACTGAAAAATGCCTCATGGTCCAGAGGATCCTCGGAAAAAGTTTGTCCTGACGACTGCTGGAAACTTCTATGGTGTAAAACCTTCATCATCCCTGGTTGACAACCAAGAGCTGAACAACTTCTTGGATGATGGAAATGAATTTATTTTGTCCTTTACCAGAAATAATAATGAGCTTCACTTGTCGAATAAGGTAACAAACAAAATGCAGCAGAACATGTCTACACAAGTAAACTTTACAAAGCCAACATAGTAACAAATGTTTAATTTGATGTTAGTAAGGAATGCAAAAGTAATTAAGAGACCTAAATTTTGTTTCATATCTATTTCACTACATGTCTATTCTGTACTTGAAAGCTTTTTTCAAGTACATTTTTCTTACCGTTTCTTTTTTAATCAGATTGAGGCTTCTGAGGGGAATAGCAAAGAGAAGGTGTTGGTATTCTTCAAACTGCATCCCACTGTGATCACAGAAGACAACCTTCACAGGAGCCTCTTGGTGTCCTCCATGTTGGAATCTCCCATCACCACACTCTATCAGGCTGTAAAGCAGGTTTTTGCACCTGTACTGCTTCAGGTTAGGCTTTTTACATGCATCTTTCAACCAGAAAGATGCATAGACTGTTGCAGGGTAAATTCTTGTTGGTCATGCAATCGGGGAGGAAAAAAAAATTCAGCATGCAAAAAAAAAATAATTGTTTGATTGCATTTTGAGACATTTACCATTTTTAAAAAATCCTTCCTGGCTGAGTAAAAAATAATCGTTCTGAGTGCAAGTATATTATATGAGTAAATTTTCTTACATTTCGGTCTTCCGTAGGAGTAGAGATTGGCATGTTTTTTTTTTCTTACAAGTCCTTGTATTCTTCAAGGATGAGCGCTGGCGCTCAGCTTTCGACCCTAAGCTCGCAAGTCTGCTAAATGAGCTGGAAGCGGGCCTGGGCTCTGTGGTCCGCCAGTCTGGAGATAAACCTTCTGCCACGAAGGGTCGCACAGAAGATGATGTTCTGGGTATGTTCTTATATAAAGTATTTAAAGAAATATCGTGATCAAGGTAACAGCTCCTTTATGGTTAAAGGTACTTTAACCTTTTAACCCTTTTGGGACAAATTGTAATGAATACCCATCTGTATAATATTTGCAGATATTAATATTTAATATTAAGATTTATTTATACTCCAATTTAATAGTCAGCTAGACACCCAATATTTCTGTTATATTTCTCTTTAGAAAGCAAAAGGTAAATTTCTCACAACAATAAATAAGATATGAGTTATTCATTTGGTAAGTTATTTATTAAAAAAAAAACAAGTATTTAAAAAAAAATTAAATGATCAATTGATTCTTAAAAAACTGAAGATCAAATAAAACTTGGTCATCTGCAATATACTGTACACCTTCAATAATATTTTCAATAATGGGAAGCACTGAAAGAAATGATCTCCACCTAAAGGAGAAAGCTTTACAGTGTAGATTCAGATCTAATGAAGTATACAAAGAGAAAATATCAATTTGTTAATATTAAATTGTTTTGATGATTATTTTGGTTTGATATTTTATTATTTTAACACTTAATGCAGGAATCCTAACCCCCAATGATGAGTTCCAATTTTGGGCGAATCTTTCTGAGTCTGCAGAGAAGAGCAGTTTGAGAGAAAGGGCATCGTATTTCACACAGCAGTTCAAATCCATACAAAAGGTATGCAGGAGTTTTTTTTTTTTTGATATCATATAACAAGCTTACTGTTAAGGTAGTAAAACAAAACCATTTACAGTTTGCTACATGAAACCGTTTTCTTTAAGTTGAACATCTTAAAATGTGAATTGTCTGATTTTAGTACACATATAAAAACACTGTCATTAATGACTTTTACTAAGATATTTTTTTTATTTAGCAAATAAAACTCCACATGGTATATGTGTGTGTGTGTGTGTGTGTGTGTGTGTGTGTGTGTGTGTGTGTGTGTGTGTGTTTGTGTGTGTGTGTCCACCAGGAATACGTTGGTCTTGACAGCTTGTCCATGTCGGATGTCGTGGATCTAGTGGAACAGAGCAAAGATACTCTTGATGATGTTTGGAGACAGACAGATTTCCAGCCCTATCCAGAGCTGCGAATGATCCGGCTAATGGACATTATTGGTGGGAGTCTCACTGACAGACATGAACCAAAACAAGGAACTAAAAACATTTTTTGCTGATGTTTTTTTTTTTTCTTTTTGTAAAGCAAAATGACATCTTAGTGTGTTTATATTTAGTCTAATAAACCGCTCTACATCATTGAAATGGACAGTTTGGAGAACCAAAACTGAGTTTGTTTCCATAAAACAGCTTCATGTACTTAACATTTTATGCTGACACGTATTTTTTTCTTTAAATATGAAAATACTATTATTTCAATAATGTCATTTACTGTACGTGGTATGCTTAAATGAGTCTTTTTTTTATCTTTGTGGTTGTACCTGTGAAAGGTGGAGCTTTAGGAAGGTATGTCCAGAAGAAGCTGAGTGGTCTTAAAATTTTTGAAGAGCCATTTCTATTGGTGAGAGAGAACCTCAGAACAGGGGTCTCCATCTGTGAGCAGTGGGTGGTAGCCTGCGAGCATTTGACTGGACAGGTATGACAGAGGTTGATCTGTACAAAGATTTTATTCAGAGATGCAAGTCTGACTCAAAAATATTGTTGGTCACTTTATTAAAAGAAATACAGTGAATGCCAAAATTATGTTTGCCTTTATCTTCTTTCTCAGGTGTGGAAAAGACATGCTCCACACCCTTGGAAAGGAAATAAGCACTGTCCACAAACCCTTCACTGCCTTGCAAAGCGGCTAAATGAGGTAACTAAAGGTTCTAACATGATTTTCATTCAGGAACACGAAAGAATCATTTCTCAAATGTTGTTTTAAAGTAATCAGTGGGTGAAATAACATGCTTCCAGTTTTCCACATTTACGCAGGATTTGACTTGTTTTCCTAAACATGAAAAAGAGGAAGCAACAATGAGCTTTTATTAAGAAAAGAATATTTTCTTTTCTTATGTAGTGTTTTTGTTTTCTCAGAAGGATTTTCAGCCAAAGGGCCTTGTAAATTCCCATTTTTACAAAGTGTAAAACCTACAGCTTTTTTTTATAATAAAGGGGAATTCAAAAATCTGATCAAATGGACTATATTGTGAATTTGACTGGACAGGCATGAGGTGTAGCAAAACACATACAACAGAGTAACATGAGAAAACAGCCTTGTATTGAATTGGAGCAGGGGTCTTCTTGTCCAACATTAGTGTTTGACTTATTTCTAGAAGAATGGTTAAAACATTCCCCATAAACATTCTCTTACTCTTATTCAAAGCCTTTTTTGAAGTCTGTAACGAGTTTATAGCTGTGAAGACTAGGCAGACATGACAAACTCTAAGAGCTAAGGACAGGATGTCATTCAAGTTTAAATGTGTCTGAAGACATAGCAAATATGTTTTGACAATGTGCTGAATAGGGTGCTTTTAAAATATCATTACTGTTAAATCTTTTTGGATCTTTTAACAAATTGTGGAAAAACACACGAACCTTGGAAAATTATCTCAGTATTTTCTTATAATGACTCCAAATGTTTTCAGTCAGTACAACATAACGGAGCTTCTTTTCCCTTCATAGAGTTTTGTGCTGTTTCATTTTTTCTCCGCCTTGTAGGAGTTTTTTTCTGTTGAAGTTTTTCTGTTAAAACTTCAACAGAAAAAAACTCCTACAAGTTGTTGTCTGGTGATGTATCATGTTCATGGATACTTCTGTTTTTGCCAGGTTATTCTAAGGAACCACGATCTAAGGCAAAGTGCAGCTGTTTCTGCTGTGCAATATTAGAGAAAACAAACATATTTGATCCTTGTTGTATCTCTGTGTCTGCTAGGTGGTGACTGTCCGCATGGTCCATGAAAAGCTGCTGTGTTTGCTACCGGGAGGAAAGCAGCAGGCCCTGTCTGCTGACCGTGTGTTTGAACCGTTTTCTGGACTCAATCCTGTACATTACAATCCCTACACTGAGGTCAGATTTAGAGCACTCTGTCAAAACTTGGCATCTATAGGCATTTAGAATTTTTTTTTCCATTTGCTAAGTCAGTTTTCTGCAACATTTCCTTTTCAATGGACATAGCAAAATAACTTACATGACCTATTCTCCTCCATTGCCATAGTAAAATTACATATATTGTATTGAGTCTTCAAAATAAAATTATTTTGAGTATTTAAAAACTAAAAATTCTTGATGAAAATACAAAACCAGTTCTGCTCTCATTTTAATTTACAGAAACTTAATGCATAGGCAATTTAATCCAACTTATCCACAATTTAATTAATGGTAGACAACAAAGGCCTAATTAGCTTACGCCTCTGCACAGATGACATGCATTGTCACTTTGCTGAAACTGCATCATGTGTGAACTTGTAGCCTGGACTTTTTGTTTTTGCTGACGTGATGTGGTCATGTTATGGTATGTCGGGGACTACACAGCTCCTTAGACTCAGTCATTAAAAGACTATAGCTGTGAGATGTAATATGTAATCTCTCCAGACAGGGAAATCCCCTGCCAAATGTGGAAATTCTATCTCAATAAATCTGTTGTTATTAGGTTAATAAGATGTGCTTAAATAGTTGTGACCAATAGAAGTACAAGTAATAGAAAATGTGAACTGAGTGATAGAGCTCTCTCAGAAAAGCCAGTCATAATCCAAAAATTATAAGCCACTCATTATTTTGAGCATAAATGAGTCTAATCTCTTTGGTATTTTTCTTATTAACATCCAGCTTCTGGTGGTGTTTTCACTTTCCATTTGTGAGATGATCTTACTACTTCACTTTTTGTGAAAATAAACTCATGGCCTATTTCACACATCCAGCAGATATTTTGGTAATGATGTGCTTGAATCTGACCATTAGTTAATTGTGGAGCACCTTAGGTTTCAAAACCAATGATGTCCCTTAAGGTTTTAGTTTTCATTGACAAAAGGAAAAGTTTCTTTCACAAGAATAATCAACGGCTTCAGTAGAAAATAAACAGAAAGAGAAACATATCCGGATGCAACATTGGTATTTTTACAGTAAAGGAAAAACAAACATGGTGAAAGCAGTGAGAGTCTACTCTAATATATTTACATCAATAGCCTCTCTCATGTTGTGGTTTCTCAGTTAACGCCCAAACACCAACCTCTTTTATAGATCACTTTGTTCTTTTGCAGCGTGGCAGGTGATCTACTGAGATCACCCTTCTGCAATAGCAGAATCAAAGAAATGTAGCTTACAAATATATTTTCCTATCCGTTTCCCCCATGGCATTGCTCTGTGTCGTAGTCCTCATGTGTGTTCTCCAAATGGATTTGGTACTTTAAATACATAAAACGTTGTGGTGCACCATCCTCAGCAGGTTTTTATCTGCGTCCGATTCTGCTGAGCAACATATTTCTTGGATCAAGCAACCATGAAAGCCGGTTCATCATGACTTTGTGTTTATTTCTACCTCCAGAGTTTGGCCAGGGTGTAATATCAGAGGTTCAGTTTTAATTGCCATGTCCATCTGGTCCTTTCAGTTGATCATCACATGAAATAAACATGTAGACATCAATATATATCATGGAATGAGAAGATGTGAAAGCATTGAATTTTTCCTTTGCTCATGCTGTGACTGTCTTACGTTTATTGTAGCCTCTTTGGAGAGCAGCAGTGGTTCAGTTTGAGCGAGTAATAGCTCCGTCGGAGCAGGAGGTTGCTTGCAGACTAAAGAGCCACATCGCTGATGTGCAGGACAACCCACAACAGGTATTGAAACTCAACAATTGAACAGATGATTTAAGTAAACAGAGGGAACTTATGTTGTGTGTTTGTTTATTATGCAGCTTCTGCAGGTATTTCAGAAACATAAGGAGTTAATCAGACGCCCAACAATCAGCAAAGAGCTCCAGTCAGAGAGGGAGAAGCTGCTGGCCAAGCTCCTTGACTACAACAAGGGTACATAATCATCATGTAAAATCACTGTTACTGTCTCAGATAAGATGTGATTGTGATTTATTGTGCTTATGCAGGATAGAAAATCTTTAAAAAATGGATTCTACATTTGATCGTAATTATTGGACTGTTTGGACCTTATTACAGAATTAAAACAGTTGTTTCAACTTAAAATTGACGATTTAGTCAATTAACTGTGTAATCAGATATAACAGTGAAGGTCAGAGAACTTTCTTTTAGAAAGTTTTATTAAAAAGCAGAATCAAAAAGAAGTCATTTCTGAAAAGGAACATGTGATAGAGGTAGTTTCGTGAGAACTACTGTTGTTCTAAATATGTCTTGAAAGTGCCCTCTGTGTCAGACTGTAGACAGCGTTCTTCACCAGTGGAACATGCTAATACACTCACACTCCTGCCTACCTCAATACAGAAATGATTGAGCAAAACCTGGGTTGAGCCTTTTGTTTTTACAGTGAATGCCTTTTACTGGGTCTTTTCTGAAATCACTAATAAATTCACTCAATCAAAGTATCTGAGTCATAAAACAAGTTTTAGCTGAAAGCTAGTCCTTAAAATGGACTAAGTAAAGTGCAGCTTTGCAGTCAGTATTGCTTGTCATTATTGACTCAATTCTGTGCTATTGATTTTTTCTTTTTAAGGCCTGAAGAATGATTTTGAGAGCCGTTGCCATGGAGGCCCTGGAGACAAGACTGGCCCGCTTGTTGGCAGGAATCTCCCTGAGGTTGTCAACAAAATTGTTTGGGTGCGACATCTCTTACACAAGGTAAAGGAGGATGTTTTACATGAGTTAAGAAACTTCCAGTATTACAACCTAAGACTTAAAGAACAGACTCTCTTTGGTTAAATGGAAAGAGAATGACCACATGAAAACGCCCCAACCCTTTTCATTTTTATGCTTGCTCTCTTGTGTCAGGTGGAAGACTCTGTCAGGATATCGGAGGCTCTGCTTTCAGACCTGTCTGGCTTCAAGAGTTTTATGCGGTTCTGCGATGATCTTCTGGAAGTGTTGAGGGCGTATGAACAAGAACAGTTTGAGGACTGGTCCAGAGAGATACTTTTTGGATTGGCTGACCCAAAATTAGGGATCAGGTTAGAAATATAGAATTTTAAAATAAAAGAAGCTTTTAAACTCTTTATGCAGAGTTTTGAAATACAGTTCTACTTGATTTACTACAAGTCATTAAGCAGGGCATTACGGTAACGTATAATGCTTGTAATTTACACAAGTTCAAAGTTAAGTCTTGAATTTAATTCAGCAAATCTTACAAAAACCATGTTTTGTATGATTTTTATGTCACAGATACTAAATCCCAATAATGCTTTGCACATAATCAGCATTGGCATCAAAACAAGGAGGTCCAAGTGTTTTTTTTTGTGTTTTTTTTTTTCTTTTTTGTTCTACAAACAACCTCATGTCTCAAAGTTGATTCTCTCCATCCGTGTAGCCTTCAAGCCAGTAATCGGGTTATGGAACTGGACCATGTGGATGGCAGGCTGAAGATCCAGTACTCAGACAGGTTGGTCAGTCTGCTCAAGGAGGTCAGGCAGCTTTCAGCTCTGGGTTTCCCCATTCCAGCCAAGATACAGCAGGCAGCTAATACAGCAGACAAATTCTACAGGCAAGCCATCGTCCTAAAACAGGTGAGGCAGTAGGTTAGGATCCATAATGTCTCCTTTTTAAGTAAAAATGTATTCTAAATGTAAATGTTCTGTGAACAATGTCTCTGTGTTGTAGGTGGCCCATTTCTACAACACAATTGACCAACAAATGATTCCCTGTCAGAAGCCCATGATGCTCGGTCTTGCATTGGGTTTTGAGCAGGTCATAAAGGTACAGAGGCAAAGCACAAGACAAAAGCATTAAATGTGAAATGTAAAATTGTAATATTGTCAGACACAAGTACTTACTGTATCTTGAGGAACAAAGCAGATTGACCGTTTTAAACAGCGTCATACAATTTTGTGCTTTTAGATTTGATGTGATTTTTTTTGTTTTTTTTTTGGTCAGAATCATCGTTCCCAGTCAAAGGAGTCGGGTAGTAAACTCCAGATCACCTGGGATAATCCCAAAGAGTTGGAGGTATACATCAGCAACCTGCAGTCTGCTGCAGAGAAGCTTTCCACTGAGAACAGAAAGCTACGGAAATGGCACACTGATTTCATCGACAAGGTGATAGCACTGAGACAGCAACAGTAAATTGAATTATTGCCATAAGTCTTTGGAGCCTGATTCTTTCCTCACTCAATCAGATAGTGTTAATTTGAGGTTATGTTTTTGTCCATACCTCTGGGTGGACTTCTCAGGTGGTGATGCTTATGAATGTGGACCTACTAAAACATCAGCAGAGATGGAAAGATGGCCTCCAGGAACTCCGCACTGGCTTTGCCACTCTGGAGGCTCTGGTATTTACAAAACTATAGAGTTGCATGTATTTATTTGTTTGTTTTTTTTATTACTATTTTTTTTTATTACAGGACAGATTGTATTAAAAATGATCTTATTAACCTGACTGTAAATATTAATATAAACTATAAAAGTATGATACAAAGTTAACTTTAAAGCAGACCACAACAGATTTTTGTTGGGACTTCCCCTCCATCACTGCACCACCACTTCCTACCTATGTCTGTGCTTGATGAGTTTTTCTTGTTTTTACATTTCACCACAGATGTTTTTCAAGCTTGGATACAAGCAGCAAAAATAGCTTTAAATCCTGACTCTGTTAAAATAACATTTAAGCGATAGCCCTTTTTCTAGAATGTGTCTAACTGGTGCATAACTTCAGTCATGCCCTGCAACTTCTAGATGAATCTCTTCTGTAACCCTCTTAAACAAATGGCACCTTGCCAGGCCTCCGCAGAGCTAAATGACTGAATGCTGATGAGGGAATTCAGTCATTTGATTCTCCTGTGATGGAGGAGAAATGAATCTAGAACAGGAATGCTTAAGTTCAGTTCTTAAGATCTACCACTGTGTAAATTTTAACACACCACAATGACCTACACGTTACAGGATATTAGTTCTTGAGAACTGGATCAGAGCTGGTTAGCCAAAAATTGTACCCAAGAAAGAGTAACAAAACTTTTACAAATGTTTTACCTAAGTAGAAGTAAAACATCAAAAAATGTACTCAAGTAAGAGTAAAAAAACTGTGGAATGACTGACATTAAAATGTGATTTAGTATTTTAAAGTAGTATCATCAGATAGATGGAAAATAAAAAAAAGTTATGTGCAATCTCTGATATTTTGAAGACAAATAATAATACCCATAAATAACATAGTTACAAGACTTCTTTCTCATTTAAGAGATAACAGTGAATATATGTGTATCCACATTTCTCTTTGTGTTCATATAGGGGTTCAGTTGGGATGACATGCAGGCTTGGCGTCAGCACTGGAACTATCAGCTCTACAAGGCTCTTGAGCACCAGTATCAGACTGGTCTGGAAGCTCTGAATAAGAACTTGCCTGACATACATGTTGACCTCATTTTCAAGTACGCGTACTGTTAGCTGAGAAACTATTTTTCTCTATGTTGCTTTTGCCTGCCTGTGGTTTTTTTTTTTTATATAATTTTTTTCCCCCCACTCATTTTCACCCATATATATATATATATATGCAGATCGCTAACCAGACTTGTTACTTTGCCTCCCACCTCTGACTTTCCACACGTCTACCTCACATTTTTTCATTTCCTGTCCAACTCTTCCTCTTTTATGAACACTTTTTTTGTTTTTTTGTGCTGGTATTTGTAATAAATCGTGAGCTCTTTTATATTATTGTGACCTTCTCAACAGGCAGGGCCGTTTACAGTTTCGTCCGCCATTCGAGGAGGTGCGAGCTCGATATTTCAGGGAGATGAAGCGTTTCATCTCAATCCCAAACCAATTCAAAGGAGTCAGCATCCAGGGGGAGGAGCTTATCTTCAACATAATGATAGACAGAAACGCCTCTGGGTTCCTCACTATTTTCAGCAAAGCTGAGGACCTCTTTAGCCGCCTGCAGGCCACACAAGATAAGTTCAAGGTGAATTACCAGAACAGAATGTGACTTTGAAGATGAGTATAACAGGAAGCTATTGTAGAACTTTATGTCCAGATTGCCTTAACACAAGTGTTAGGGACATTTGTTTGTTCAGAAATTAGACCAGATTTGAAGATTTAAAAGAAGGTTAAATATTTACTCTCCTGCCACCTTTTTGCTAAGTGAGTCTTTTCTCAGTTCTCTAATTTGTTTTCTTTGAAAGAATGAAACTTTGATCACTCATGCTTCTCCATTTATATACTGTAGCTCTGTTGTTTTTACTGTCAGCATTTTCCCCCTAGGAGTACCCCTTAGAGAACATTAAGGAACAGTTTGCTGTCTTGTCACTTCTGGCACTTAGTCAAGCATATCTAACTCACAGGGGAGAAACCCTCAACCTCATACTTCTCTATTGTCATCTAGTTCTGTTTTTATTTCGTCATTTGTGTTTCATGGTAGGACGTTCGGTTTCTGTCACCTTTAACACAAAGCTATTTAAAAATGGGAAATAATGCTCTGCGACTAACTGACATTTGTCTGGCTTGTCTAGGAGTGGGTGGTGCTGGGCCAGGTAGATTTAGAGAAGTTGGTTGAGACGCATCTCACGTCGGTGCAGGACTGGGAGAGAAATTTCAAGGCACTCAAGGCCAGAGGGAAAGAGTCAGAATGCCTCCCCAGGTACATGTAACAACAACAGATTTATTCAATTAATAAAACTAAACGGAATGGTGAATACAACAAAAATGGAAATAGATTCCATAAATACGTAGATTTAATCCTTAGTTAATTGTTTGGTGCAGTTCACATTATTTTAACAACAGATCTGGTTTTCTGCTCATCAGCCAGGAGAAGGTAGACTGTATTACAGTCAACTGTGATCCGGTGAAAGCCACCATTGATGACCTGATCCAGAGATTGTTTGACTTGCTGCTCTTATCGCTTAAGAAATCAATACAAGGTAACCACATTCACATTTTTCTCTCCAGTCATTTCATTCTTTGCATTTTGTTAATGCCTTTTTTGCGCTTTTTTTTTGCTCTAGTGTTAGGCACAGTGAAATCCCCTTTTACAGTCAGTTTGTTTTTCTATGTTTTTTTTTTTCCCCCCTCAATTTCAGGCCATTCACAGGCCATAGAGAGCTTTGTTTCAGAGTCAATGGAAGCACTGGTCACACGACCTGAAAGCATGGAGGAGATCGGTGCAGCTTCTGGCAAATACAACCAAATCGTTGCTCGAAAGCCTGAAGTAAGACATACATACACCTGAAACCTGCTTAACTGGGAAAATAGTGTTAATCAGTTAGACTGTGTTGGGTTTTTACTTAAGTCAGTATAACTATTAGAGATATTAGATTTTGTCAATATTAGGTCAAATAAAATTTAGATACATTTCTTTTTTACAAATGTATCACATTCCAGACACTTACATTGCAATGCAGTGTAGCTCAGATGTTGACTATGTAGTATGAAAAATATTGTATTTGATGTCTGTTCCTAGATCTTCCCTCAGTTCCAGTTTGCTGAGGAGAAAAACTGCCTTCTGCGCGCTGTGGCTGGCGCAGGTCTGGACTCATTATCCTCTCTGAGGGCCAAGTGGGACAAACTGGAACTTGTCATGGAGAGCCATCAGCTAATGATCAAAGACCAGGTGAAGTCAACACATATTAACTTAGAATCATTATTCGGCAACTCGGAATGCACAACACATCGGCATTAACATCTGCATCGGCTGATGTTAGTGTTAGACCAATATATATATAACATATATAATATTGGTAAACATCAAATTTCTGCCACAACAACAATATTAGTATTGGGTATTGACATCAGCCCAAATTTTAATATCGGTGCATCCGTATCTGCAACCCACTGCAGATACGGATCCAGAGAAGTATTCACATCTCTGGACTTATTTATGTTTTCCAGCTGCAAACTTCACAAAGCAGATTTGTCAAAGTAAAAACATATAGAAGTTCCAAGGACATGAGTAATTTATCTTAGCTACTTTTTGTCCTAACAGGTGATGTTTTTGCTGTTTTTGCTGTGTTTGTTCTTAGGTAGAGGTGATGCGAAATCATGCAGCTGGTCGTATCGGTGCCTACAGGGCAGATTTGGAGCGCTTCAAAGCACGCTGGGACCAACTAAAACCTAAAGATGAGATGCTTGAGACTGGTGATCATGCCGCCCTGCTTGCTTGCCTTCAGACAATCAGAGACAAACAGCAGGAGTTCCAGGATATGGAGGTTGTACGCAATAAACTGCTGTAAGTTTGGTGCAATTTGATGAACTTATGTTAAGGGTAGACGGAAGACCATGGTCTTCACTTCCACCTCAGTTTAGAACAAAGTGAATTTTAATAGAAGAGTAAGCAATATATTTTCACATTGCTTTTTTGCAGTGAAGACTGCACATATTTTAATCTGGAGCCTCCAGATTTCTCCCTGGCAGAAGACACAAAAAGAGACATGGATGAGCACAGTCAGATGTGGAGTCTGTATGAGGAGTGGCAGCAAGGCTTCACAGAAAAGGCCCAGGAAGATTGGATCACATTCAGGTTTGGCTGCCAAGATAGACCCAGAAGATCCTAATGCGCTTATTACGTCGAATGTATTTTCTCATGTGTTTGTTTGCTGGGTTTTGAAGGAGTAAAACATATGTGTTTGAGGAGTTTCTCTTTACATGGCAAGACCGACTGAGAAAACTAGAAAAACCAACAGCCATGTCTGTTAAACTCCAAGGAGAAGTGGACAAATACAAGGTATGGACAATATGAAAAAAAAAAA